ACGTCTGTGAAAAAAGTTATTCGCAGAAAACCAAAATTTTATGGCTCTATTAACTTTTGGCACTTTTTGGCACAAAGGAGATGCGACAATCGATTTTCGACCACAGGCCCGGATTGGCAACTCGATGGAAAGTTTTTTGGCACGTTTGGATTTCCCAACATTGAAACACAGTAAAAGTTATTCGGCCTCAAAGTCAAAATTTTTTTCAATTTTCCGACGTCGCTGTGACGTCATAGCCACGCCCAATTTCAAAACCGACCACACCCAACGATGCCCCTTGAAAAGGACAACATTTGGTGTAAGGGGCGTCGTGGTACCCCGCTGGTTCAAAAGTTATGGCGAAAAGACTTTTTTGGCACCCCGTTTTTGACCCTATTTTTTGGTTTTTGGCACACAGTGGCGCAACCGTAAAAGGTACCAAGTCGCCGTTCCCACCCTTTTCAATCCACCATATAGGGATCACCTTGGCACCGTTTGCACATCTGTACCACTTTTGGTCTCTCTGTGCCAAGGTCCCAAACAGGGCCCACTTTCGCTTTCCTCTGTGACGTCACGACCACGCCCAACCACGCCCAAACTCAAGTCACTCGTGGACCTCGCGGAGATCTTTCGTTTGAGCCAGGTCCCAGTTTTGTCCCATTTGTGGTTCAAAAGTTACGGTCCAAAGTGTGTTTTTGGCACTTTTCGGCACCAGTGCCACTCGGTTTGTGCCAAATTACTCGGAACGGAAAGGTGGTACCCTGGTGCAAACGAAGGTCCTCAGTTACCCCACTGAATTTGGCACAGTTTGAGCCTATTTGGGCTTCTGTACCTCTTGTCACTTTTTTGCCCCGTCAGTTTGAAAATCGGCGAAAAAGTGCCAAAATCGCCTCTTCTGACGTCACTGTGACGTAGGTGCCACGCCCAATCCGAGTACCGTTTATTGCAAAAGGTGCGCCTTCACTAGCTCTACGACCTCCCGCAAACCCCGTTTCGATACCCCTCTTCGTTTTTGAGTTATTCACGAAAAACCTGTTTTTGGCCGTTTTTTTCCACCCCCGTGACACATGTTTTTTGGGGTTTACCCCACCTTACCCCGTTACCCCAACTCCCAGATTTCGTATTCGACTAGGGCCTCTTACAGATACACCTTCTAAAAAAAGAATTTTTCGATTCCCACTTGCCGTTCAAAAGTTATTCGCGAAAAACACTTTTCAAAAAATCTGCACCTACCAATTTGCAATATCTTTTTGAAATAAACTCGGGAATACTTACTTTATGCTTGGATATCTAGAACTGCTCATTTTCCTCACTTTTGTTGGAGAATCTGCTAAATGTTTTGGTCGGAAATTTTTGGAGCCGCAATGGACCTAATCGCAGCAGCCGCTTCGTGATATGTTGCAGAACTATTCAATCAATAAAATGTGTCACAAATCGTCAAGCCCATCTTTTCCAACCGATTGCGATTTTGTTATGGGAACAAATAACGCTGCAAATTGCGTGAAAGAACATTTCGTCCTCTCACTAAATAAAAATACCAAAATTCCCTCGACAAACAGGTTCACTCGATTACCTCACTCAATAGCTGGAAAAGAGTAGGCATAATAAAATGGCTTAAAATATGCCACTTTCCATCAAATAGAGCGTTTTCATGTGACGTAAGAAAATCGGAAACGAGGTTGGTGGCCATGTTGGTGTTCCACCACTGATCTCTGTGTTAAAAGTTGTTAAGCATGGCTACTAATTCAACTGAGACAGTCACGAAGAGGGACGTGAAAACTTGACACGAAGCAATCCCATTATCCGATTATGCAAAACGATTGGATTCACATGTTAAAGAGAGGTATATGGAGAAAGTAGCAATAATTGGTATTGACCCTTTGCTGATTTCAGAAGAAAAACACGATCCAGAATGCTTGCCACCAGTGGAAGCCGCCAATTTACTCTCGTATTTTGTTGAGGACATAAGCTACTATACAAATATGCAATTCAAAGCATTTCGAAGTTTGCATGCTTACAATCAAATGGTCTCTGGATTAATATCAAGTGTCCAGGGACAGATTATTTCCAACAAATACGTTGTTTTGGGAAAGGTACGGCACTCGCAGAGGATGAATGATCCACCTGTTCTGCTTTTGATCATAACGGAAAAAGACGGGACGATTCTTTGCGCACATTGTGTAGGCTGTATGGCAGGCCTTGGGTAATGCTGCTCCCACATCGCAAGTGTTCTTTTTTATTTAGAAGTTTGGACCAGACTCAATGGTAAGCTTGCTTGTACACAAACCAAATGTACATGGATCTTGCCAACATATGTCAAGGAAATATCCTATGCTCCAGTCAAGAACATAGATTTCACCTCTTCCAAGAAACTGAAACAGAATCTTGATAAGGCTGTTGATGATGTTATCATCCCATTGCCTAAACAGGATGAATGCTTCACTAGAACCAGACCTGATAAAGCAATGATAGACAATGCATCCCCAAGTGAAGATGAGAAAAATTCTTTCTACAGGGAATTGAATTCATGCAAGAAAAAGCCTGTCGCATTAAGTTTGATCAAGCCATATGCAGACTCCTTCATCCTCAAAAGCAGGAACATCCCCACTATATCAGATTTATTTGATGAGAAAAATCTTAAACTTGAATATCATCAGTTGATAAAATTATGTTCAGAAACAAACATCAGCATCAGTGAAACTGATATCAATGAAATTGAAAGGGATACAAGAAGCCAGTCTAAAGGAAGTGCATTTTTCCGACATCGAGCAGGCAGGATTGGTGCTTCAGTTTCAAAGCAAGCATGCCACACAAATCCAGCACAGCCATCTCAATCATTAATCAAATCAATTTGCTACCCACATCTTTTCCAGTTCCAATCAGCTGCAACAGACCATGGTTGCAAGCATAAGCAAAATGCAATTAATGCATTTGAAGAGCAAATGAAACTGTCCCATTTAAATTATCAGACAATTAAATGTGGAATATTTGTTCACCAACATTACACTCCAAAATTATTGAGATATTCAGTAACCGCTTGAGATATCAGTTTGAAATTTTTTTGGTGCCTTGTACCATCTATTTCACCCATGTTTTGTAATTTTTGTTAATTTCAAGCGCGGGAAAAAAATAAAAAAGGGTTTTGAATTTCAGCACCTTAGATGTTCTTATTTGTTAAAAATGGAGCTTGAAAGACGTGATTTTCGCGCAATGATTTATTATGATTTTAAAAGGCTGAAACAAGAAGAGTGCCTAGCTCAACTTCTGCAGACATTTGGAGATAATGCACCTTCAAGGGCAACAGTTTTTCGATGGTTTGCCGAATTTAAGAGAGGGAGGGAGAGCCTTAAAGATGAGACCCACCCAGGGAGGCCCCCAACTGCTGTTGTGCCAGAATCAGTTGCCG